CGTGACATATTACTGTGTCAATGCTTCTATATTGAAGTCCTGCAGACTGCAGTGTTTTAGTTCCGACGAAATATTTCAAAAAACTGGTTGTAATAGTATTGATTCGTATTGTTCGTAATGTCAGTCGACGGTTCAAACATTTAGGTATAATTTAAAGGCATTTGTACGTCTTAAACACTGCCAAAACATCGATCATATATCTTGCTTTCATATAGGAATTTAAAATATACATCGCACCAATCAATATGCATGTAAATGTTGCACCGTAGTAATGTCTTTTCGTCAACATTACTGGGTCAAGTGTGCAATGCATTCTGGGTCATCAAGGTCCAAAACGCGACCGACACACGATGAAACCTAGACTCGTGCTCTCCTAGACGACGCACGAGTAATAATGTAGGAACTTTTAGTATGTAGGACGGAAACACGATAGAAATACAAACGTATGGAGTTCATTAAATCTCGGGTTCTCACGTCTTGTGCACAACGCGTCTGCATTTCAAGCGTAACAAGCCCTAATTCAAATCGCGGTTCATAGAAATGTTCTCAAACATAAGCTCGATGTTTTCAACGTCTTATACCTTATTAAATTTATGCGATTGATAATATTAAACGTCTCTTTACCGTGGCTTTTATTTGAGCGTCTCTATGAGACTATGATCATATTACACCCTCCCAAAGCCCCAGCACGATCACACTCGAATACGAACGGGACATCTTTTCTACGTTTTTATTCAGAGCCACCCACTTTAACATTAAATAATTTACCCACGAAAACGTACTGACATCGCGTTCGTTCAATAGAAATTTTGACTAAATCCCCTCTTGTTTGTGTTGGCTTTGCACATAAATAAATAATTATTATGGTATCGTGTTTCTACCGCATTTTTCCTAACAGAAAACACACACACTTGTGGTGGACAAGTTAACTTACCTAAGATAACCAGTATTGGAAGCAAAACACGTAGCATCATGTGGATATATTTAATACGTGGTATTCCAGGGTATGGATACGCTGAACGATGGTCTATATAATTATAATCATAGAACGAGACCACACAGCCAAAGAGTTATGGCAAATTTAACTCGTGGTTTCCTCGTTCCTAGGTTTTCCGCGCACTGCGTGTGACGAAAGCTCTGAGATAATCTACTTTTCCGCCAAAATTCGGTTGTTTGCCGCGGGGCCTCTGGTATAGGAAAAGTGTTGACTCAGGGATGATAGTGGGAGAGGGAGTTGTGAATTTCGTTGTGAATTGATAGATATTTTACAATTGTATAGTCTTATGCGCTCGGGTATATACAACGTGTGACACATGTTCTCGCACATAAAGACTCACACGTGCGCATTGTCTAAAATTATCTAAAAAATTACTTGAAGAAACGCCACAAAAACTACAACCTAATAATCACCGATGATAAACTACATTATCCTGCAGTTTCCATGTTTTTAAGCAACATCTAAAGCCTTCACATTAGCGAAATAAAACAGGAATTCATACGGAATTTTGAGAAAACTATCCGAGGGTCACTCCGCCTAAGGAAACGTCATCTTTTTCAAAAAATTAGCTAAACGCTCATTGGCTGCACTACAAGGCAATACCGGTCGAATTGTGGTGCAGCCCATGAGCTTTATCTATTTTCTACTTTACATGAAGTATTAATTAAATTTAGGCATTCCTATACTGTCTTTGTTTCGGGCCGGTTGGATAAAACTCTTAACTAAGTTTGAAATAATGGACGCTTCTCTATAAGCCGTCGACTAGCTACGTAATTATGTTTTCTTTTAGAAATGTTAGGCTTTCGTTCCAGTAGACTTCTTGTGCCTTTGACTGTGACTTGTTTTGACCTCCTAAGAACCATGTATCATCCCACCTTTTCACATATTTTGAACACGGTGGAAGATAACATGGCGTAATAAAGTGCCCCGTTCCAGGAACGTTCCCTCTCGTTCGATTTCAGTATTCAGTCATCATCAAGACCGTACACCAGCAAAACTTTCCCGGTTATACGTTTCACTGGGACAAGGGATGGTGCTTCGGGCTTGCAGGCCTCCTTGCTTTTGAATATAAAGAGATAATGCGCATAGGAGACGTAGGTATCGTCAGTAAACTCCACCGGATAACCTGAATTGTGAAATCATTGCAGCGCAACGTGCAACCGATTAGTACACGCGGTCCTGATATCGCGATACAACTGCTTTAATTTTCTCCGGAATTTGTGAAGCAATGGCTAATGCAAGCACTCCATCCATGGATAGACCAACTACGCCAATGCCACCAGACATTACCTATGAGAAACATCGATACAGCAATACAAGTGGACGCTCACTGCTGAATACACACCACTATACAGTATTGATCATAATTATTTGAACACTTGAAGTACTAACATCTCTTCATAAGTGAACTGAAATATAAATGATCGAGTAATTTATTTCAAAGTTTTGAAACGCAAGGACATTGAAAGACTTATTTATCGGTACAAAATTGTTTTACTCTTCAAAATACAACTTAACACCCTTAATTTAATATTTGGTGTGGCCACCTTTTGCTTTTATGACTGCTCTGCAACGTTCTGGCATAGTGTCAATATATTTTTTAATTAACAACCTCAACAGGAATGCTTTCCCAGCATCGTTTAAGTTCTAACCAAAGCGTTTCTTTTGTTTTTACACGCGATTTGTCAAGTCTACGGTCAACTGGTTCCCAAATTTGCTCAATAGGATTCAGGTCTGAGCTTTGTGCTGGCCAATTCATGATTGTTAAAACACCTGCAGCCTCTTTTCTTCTTAAATAGTTTCGGCAGTATTTTGACGAATGTTTAGGATCGTTGTCTTCTTGAAAAACAAAATTATTACCAATTAGCCGAAGACCTGACGGTACTGCATGCTTCACGAGAATATTATGGTACACCTTTTTGTCCATTATACCATCTTTTTTAACCAAACCGCCTATTCCTGTTCCAGACATAGAACCCCAACACCATTGACTGTGGAGGAAATGCAGTCGTTTATGAGCCGCTCACCTTTTCGTCTCCGCACATAAACCCTTCGATTAGTGCCGAACAATTCAAACTTTGATTCGTCTGCCCATAATACCTTATTCCAATCATCTTTGGCCTATGTTGTTAAGTTATTGTATGAGCATAGATCAGTCGAATCGTATACTGTCCAACTAGCGTATGCGGTTGGTCAGGTTGATGTCTTAGAGGCTGGCTACCTCTTTCATGGTATGTAGCGTGTGTGCATACATGACATCATGCGCTTGTGCGCAGTTGCAGAGTCCTAATGGGGAGAATAGAGAGCTTTAGATTTCACTACGACTCCTGTTACCGCTACGAGATTCGTCACATTGACGTGATATTCGTGATACTTCGTACTGACGCCAGACACTCGTAGCCGTCGCTTATCTGACAACGGCATTTTTAGAAAACTTCGTAGTCCTCACTACGTGATTTAAAAAGCAATAAAAGTTGACATTTTCTCGTTTTTTTCCAGAAAATAATCTGAGAGAACTGTTTTTCATGACCATTATGTATATTTTTCGAAATAGTAGGCGAAAAATTTCCGAAATATTTGACAGGATAAACATGCATTTATTATTGTGTCTGGAAAGGTTTATCATGCCTGCACGAGGTGACGTGTGCATACAACGTTTGTTTCGCGCCACAGTGACGAATCTCGTAGCCGTAGCAAGAGCCGTAGTCAAATCTAAAGCTCTCTATAATAAAGCCAAGGACAACGATTTAAAGGCCCATTAATTTTAGGAACGAGTCCTTGGGATGAAAGATTGACCACAAAGAATTACATCCTATAGGAGTGCTTCGCTCAAACCCCTTCTCCCACAAAAAACGCGTGTGTATGTGTATTGTTTTGCGCAGAAAACCCGCTTGCTAACTATTAGGACGGCTTCGATGATTAAAGCTCCATTTACACTACACTCGATTTAATGGCACGGCACGGCTAAAATGGGTACCCGTGCCCATTTTATCTATGCTCGGCCTTTGTTTTGGTTGCCTGAACACTAATAAAATTGGGTACGGGTACCAATTTTAGCCGTGCCGTGCCGATAAATTGACTGTAGTGTAAACGGGGCTTAATACGTCGTTTGAAGCCCCGTTTATACAATACACTCAAGCCCCATTTACACTACACTCGATTTATTGGCACGGCACGGCTAAAATGGGTACCCGTGCCCAATTTTACTAGTGCTCAGGGTACCAAAACAAAGGCCGGGCACGGATGAAGTGGGCACGGGTACCCATTTTAGTCGTGCCGTGCCAATAAATCGAGTGTAGTGTAAATGGGGCTTCAATTTATTGGCACGGCACGGCTAAAATTTTTTACCCCGGATGAATTGACTGCATGTAGTGTAAACAAGGCTCACTTTGCGCGTTACGTTGCGTGCGTTTTTATATCAGATTTATCATATAATTATTCATATTCTTACATGGCAACGAAGAAAAGCGCTAGCTAAAAATGCTTATCCGTATAGTGAGTTTTTAAAAGTCATTCACGAATCACGACTTGTGGAATACTCCATATAATTTATAACAAATCTCCATGAAAAAACCCCAACTCTTTAGAAGACAGATTGATTGAAGTGATTTTCAATTGACTGCTATTTTCAACCTCAGGAATTACCAATATAGGCAGCCAAAATTATAAAATGTAAATCTAATTCGATTTAAAGCTTGACATGCAGTTAGTCTTTAAAGCTTGAGGCTTCTATATAAATTATACAAAGTGATGTCTGAGGAGATTAGATAAGGCCGAGACTTGGTATTCGTATATATATAGTTGTTGTACAGAACAATAAATCTGCGATCTTATTTTTAGCATCGAATTAACACAGCACAAATACAGTGAAAACCATGAAAATAATGAAATAATGAAATAATGTAGTATATGCAAAAGGTGAGAAAATCATCTATCGATGATCGGTTTCGATCTTTGACAAATTTAATGTAACATTCTTCACTGGCGTGTGTCAATTTAGTTGAAAACAGATTATCGCAAAGACTTAAAAGGAATATTGCTCTTCGACTGAAAGTACTGAATTATAGTTGTTGCAAAAAGCCCATATTACAGTAGCTTGTGCATGAGTTAATTTCTGTGACAAAATAATTTCAAAATTTGGGTTCGCAAATTGACTCTATTAAGAATTGCTATGCATCGCGTATGTTATATTTAGCGCCAGCGGGGACCGGATGCAAAGAACTGCGCCGAGACCACAGTTTATTGTTGCTGGGGTGGGCATAGTTATGATACAAATAAAAATTATATGAATATGCCCCCCCTCAATTTAACTTGATTTAGCTACGTATGTCCCTACAACGCAATAACCAAATCGAAAAAATCGTAGCAAATGTCTGTCAGACCGAGGTTTGATTTAGGTCAACCGCGATTTTTGTTAGGTTATTTCTGGGCAGTACTGTACAGTTTCGAGGTGTTTATCGTAAAATGCATGGCAAATGCATATAGGTCATCTTGCAGATATTTTTAGTGCAAATTTTTATTATGGTTTTTCAGTATTTCTTATTTCTTTTTACTATTAACTTTCTCTAAGTTCTATCAAGACCCATACATCGTTATGTATTAGACTACGGATAGAATTAACTGATTCTTGATGAATATGTTGCATCATTATGTTGTTCATATCCCACATACTTTAAAAATTACTTAGGTTAGTTACATGCACCAAGATTTTTGCAGACATTTTATTCATAATTAAGATTGTGCAAAAACACACAAAAAGACAAAAAAATGAAACAGCTCGGAACATCTTTTCTAGAGGTCCCACTAGCAGGTGATTCTTGAACCCAGACTGCGAAGGTTCCCGCGTTCACTCCGCTAATTTTCCCATGAATCTTCTGGGTCTCTGCATTAATAATCACCACCGTCTTGTCTCTGGTTGCCGGGGAAATGATCCATTTATCGTTGATAAACAAATTTCTTGATGCGCCGTGTGTTGTTGTGTCGAGGAAGCCGACGTTTTCGATGTATTTTACGTCGGAGATATTTCTTTTTTCTGCTAAACTCAAGTCAATGACCGCTATTCTTTTTGCGTAATCAAGCGTAACGAATACGTAGTAGCTATTCGAGGTTTTACCCTTTGGGAAAAACACCGCATGGGATACACCGCCGGGAATGTAGAGTCTCGGGTAATAAGAAACTTTAAGCCCGTCAGGTCCTTTCACGGCAAAAATATTCATTACACTTGTTTTGCGATGAAGGATCACAACATACCGACCATTAGGCGAAACAAATGGAACGCCGGGAATTTCCCAACTAATTGCACTACCACCGCTGGTGTCTTGTGCAACTAACGACAAACTTCGATGACGTTTTTGACATTCCACGAACAAGTATTTGTTGTACGCGTTATAGGCAATGCCCATGGTTCCTGTGCAGCCGTACTTTGAGAAGTTACGAAAACTCGTGTAGGTCTTCGTTTCTAAGTTCAATTCGTGAATTCCGGGATTTTTGAAATGTGTAACGAAAGCCGTCTTTCCTTTGTGCAAGTCTTTGTCGGAAACCATATAACCATGCGTCCAACCTAAATATTACACATAAAAAGTGCTGTTTTTAGTTTTTCAGTTTTTAATGGACGTTTTTTTGTTTTCACTATATATTTGCTGTTTTCAGCTTCTCGGGGACTATTTTCCGTCTCACTTGAGTGGGGTGATGTACTATATTAAAGACCGGCGTTAACTTGAGCTTTTGGCTTGGTAAAATATTCCTAGCGGCGTGCTTAAGCAGAAAGCTCGAATGTCTAGATAATAGGGAAAGACCTAGGAGCAAAAGGTTCCCATGACCAAGTCTCTGGAACTGAATGTCATATAAAGCTAGCTTGCAATAATATGAGGCTTTTTAAATTTCATCACCTGGTTTTATATGAGCTCGCAAGGCCTTGTGGGTACGATCACGACTTTCAGTTGCGATGACGTCAAACGTGGAAAGATTCCAAGAATGTACCCAGACTTCTTTGCGCCACTGCAGACACTGCAAGCCGATGGGGAACGGGTCTGTAGGAATAGTTTCAATTTTTTCGCGTGTTCTGACATCAATCACGTGCACCGAATTTCCTGATGCGTCTGCGACGAAAACCGCGTCATCAACAACACAAGCCTGACTTAACCAGCAGTCGTTTCTGATGAAAAAAACTTAAAATTAATATTATTATGATTATTATTATGATTATTCTACCACCGAAATAATTATATTGCTGCCGTCAGTCTCTCGACGTCATGTCGCAAAGTTAGTCAATTAATTGAGTAGGAAAAATTAAAAAAAATGTAATATCGGCCTGAAAAAACTCAAACAAACATCTTTTTTTTTATATTCACTGGATTTGAATTTTTTGTTTTCACAGCGATTTTAATTTTGGTGATATTTAGGGTCCTTTTTGTGGTTTGTATAAAGAGATTTTTCAGTCAATAATGTAGGCCAATAATTACAATAAACACTAAAAAGCCCTCTGTATTTGGAAAGAAGCATTCTCAGAATTGGACCATATAAATACTATATTATAAAGCAGCACTCTGAACCAACCTTGACACTCGGTTATTGCTTTTGGTACACAGCCCGGGCGCTGTTGTGTTGGTTATTTTAGCAACCAGACGTTTTGCCACTGGATCTATCACATATATACCATCACCTCCCAGAAGATAGAATACATTGTCTCTTCTTACTGAGGCAAAATTACCCGAAAGAATTCCTGTGAGAAAAAAGATTCTCTCTTATTACTCGTGCTCTAGGAGGGCACGAGTCTAGGTTTCGTCGTGTGTCGGTCGCGTTTTGGACCTCGATGACCCAGAATGCATTGCGCCCTTGACCCAGTAATGTATGACGAAATGTAATTATTTGACAAGACAAGCCACTTTTACAAACAATACGGCAAAATATATTGCACAGAAGACATTACTACGGTGCGCGATGTATATTACGAGATATAATTATCCGACAATACAAACCACATTTTACAAACAATACAAAGGATGCAAAATATATATGCACAGAAGACATTACTACGGTGCAACATTTACATGCATATTCCTTGGTGCGATATATATTTTTAAATTCCTATATGAAAGCAAGATATATGATCGATGTTTTCGCAGTTTTAGACCTACAAATGCTTATAAATCACACTTATTAATACCTAAATGTTTGAACCTTGACATTACGAACAATACGAATCAATATTTTTACAACTAGTTTTTTGAAAGCTTTCGTCGGAACTAAAACACTGCAGTCTGCAGTCAATATATAATAGAAGCATTGACAAAGTAATATGTCACGCCGTGCGGATTGTTTATAGGCTACCTATAATCGGCATTTGTGAATTGTGATAATAATGTAAATGTATTATTTTATACTTGTGTTATCACACAAGTATAAAATAATACATTTACATTTTGTCGTGTAAGTCCTCCCAGGCCCAGGGTAACCACAAAGCCTTAACTTGCGCTATAGTTCCCACAACACGCCATGATTGTGTCCCTCAAGTAATGCTATTAAATCCCTAGAACACAATCCCTAGAGCACGAGTGTACGCCTAAGCCGGCGTCTTGTTATATGAAGTTTGTGAATTCATAGCACTTAATTGTCGTATTGCTCTTCTGTAGATATCATGAACATTCTAAAAATGCAGGATATTGTTCGTATTGACCGTATATAACATTCAAGTATATAGCTCAGTCTGAATTTGAAGTCAGCTGATTTTAAGTGCAATATACTGAAAGAGGCTTATTGTCCATATATATATAACATTCAAGTAGCTTAGTGTGAATTCGAAATTAGCTGATTTCAAAGTGCAATATATACGGAAAGAAACAAGGGTTTTATTTCCTGGTTTCTGGAAGCAAATGCAGGCGTGAATATAGTGGAACCTATTGTGTCAGCAACGTTTGCTTGCCAGGACAGTCTCTGAAGCAAATCTTTACATTAATTTTCTAATTGCTTGTTTCCAAAGTTGATATCTTTTTTCATAAATATTTTCTGGAGCGAAAATATTTTCTATGAAAATATTTTCTATCACATTTTCTATGAAGATTTAAAACGAACAGTGGTTCCGCAGCACATTAAACTAAAACACTCGATTAAAATTTAACCAAAGGTTAGTGGTAACCTAGCTTTGAACAAAACTAATTAATCTAGCCATGCACGATTAGGAGAATAAAATATGCCGTCACACCTTCACAAAGTGAAAGGACCTTAAGACTCGAATACGGACAACAAATCTATTCCACGTTTCTATTTAGTACCATCCACTTCGGTAAAAATGAGTCGATTTATCAACGTACGGAAATGAGGTCTGTTTAACAGAATCGCTGCCTAAATTCTCTCTTGTTGACCCAGCGCAGCGTTGGCTTGCATATCAATACTTTTAACATTTTGTCGTATTTCTACCGTTTCCGTCCTAACATAATACACACTTGTGGACATGTTAACTTACCGAAAATAACGAGTATTGGAAGCAATACAGCCAGCGTCATAACGATATGTATTAAGTGGTATTACACGGTGTGAACGCGTTGGACGAAGATCTAACGATGCAGCTAAACAATATATAGGAAGTATGATCTCAAAAATTGGAGTATCCGAAGCGATATTTAAACCTTGTGTGACATGTCAATATGCACTTGAATATATAACATGAAGTAGTTGACTTGCTGAGCATATCAAATATACATTTTGGTTAGCTTCCAAAAAGTTGTAAAATGAACAGATATTGCTCCGCGAAGATCACAAATATTGTATGCTCTTGTAGTTGTATTAATATATTACGATAAGGAAATCTTTCGAGGTCATGCGGAATGGTTTTCAATTTTGTTTTCAATGGTTTTCACCGTTTTCATGCAATGAAAAATCATGGAAAATTTCGACAGTTTTGGAAAGGTGTGGATGGTTTGTAATTACTATACAGTGTGACAGCATTTTTGCGAGTGCATGTATTCATAATTAATCCATTTGTGCATTATTGGCTCTGACCTTGTCATGGGCATGGATCATGAGGACCGCCACTTGATTTTACATATCCATCTTTTATACCATGCAGGTAAAGCATCCGGTGATATGATAATAAAGAAATAGATGTAAAACGAATTTTCTAGCGTTACGGAATGTACACAATTGTGGTGATTGTTGAAGGGACTCCCAGGGGACAGGACTTTATCGCGTAGTATAATCTATGCTATTCGAGAGTTTCGAGGCATTTTCTTTCAACAAGGACATTGAATTTTTTGTGTTGAGTATGTACACAGCTAGAAGCAGCTCTTGCTCTTGTAGAAGTACTTTGCAGTGAAGAGATACTCCCTCCCTGATATGGTGGGGGTTTAATGTGTTAATTATGTTTACTCAAAATTTTTTGAACTCGTCACAAAGTGTATTGAGTACAAAGGTGAAAGGTGTATTCAAGTCTTAAGTAACTGTCGGCCGTTATGGCTCAAATTGATTGTGAACTCTTCAGTTTTTGACATGCGTCATCATTTCAACATATCAACAAAAATGTAAGAAATAGCTTGCTGAAATTCTCTCTTGTTGGATTAGCACAGCGTTGGCATTGCACATGAATAATAATGTGTAGTTTTTCGCCTTATCTTTTTTGCCCTAACAAACAACACATTGTGGACAAGTTAACTTGCATGCAGCAAATAGCTAGTATTGGAAGCAAAAAATCCAGCGACATAACGATATTTATTCTATAGAATGGTGTGTTTTATTTGGCGAAACCGCAATTGCATGGGGAAAACACACGAGTGTGCGATTATTCATGATTATAACACATGCATGTGCGATTATTGGGTTTTTTATCCACCAATCAGGAAGCAGGTATACGCGTCATGGGGGTAAAAAATTTAAATAAAAACAGTTTCTAGTTTACAAGACCCGGTTTACACTATCAAATATTCTGTGATCACAGTTGGACTTTTCAAACAACAAATCCTAAGTTTTAAAAGATTTGTTGAAAATACTGCAGGAAACTGTAACACTAATTAAAACAAAGTTATTTCATCCTAATATTCCGTACAAAATGTTTAAAACTTTGGATTTAACAACGCAAAATTGCAACTGTGATTACAAAAACGTTGACAGTGTAAACTGGGCATAATAAAAAAATTAATACATGATGCTTGGGAAATTCTCAATACTCGTAATACATGCATTATATATATCATCGTAATTATCGCAACTCTGCATGGTTTTAATAAATGAAAGTAATCACAGTCTTTGGTCGTGAAAGTTAATCTTTGTGTGGTGATTACTTTCATTTATTAAAACCAGAGTTGCGATAATTACGATGGTTTATATACCTGGTTGCAGTTAATGAACTCATTAACATTATATATATTAATTTTCTATTAGAGGAATACCAAAATTAATAGTTTTGCATGCATGATTGCATGAAGATGTTGGAAAGTTTCCGTAAATTCGGGAATTAAAACAACCTTCTAATTCTAAAAGCTTATCCGTTCACCACCAGTGTGCAAAACACACAGCAAACCCTAGGCCATTCTTAACATTTGCCCCATACCCTGTCATTGATACGGCCAATTATTTTCATTTGTGACGGTTCTCAATTAAAAAGCATAGAAATTGTAATAGTTTGTTGAAAAGTATTCACAGGTTATCGTCTACAGTATCACAGTATACTTTTGCGATATTAATCCACGCATTTGTACATTATTGGTCCTGACTTGGCTTGCCAGCAAACTGGAGATATAGGTGTAAAGGATCGCCTGTCTTTCAGATCAGGTTTTTATATATTCCCATGAACATATCCGGTGACATGGTAAAGAATAGATGTAAATTCTATAGTAACTACTTATAGAATCACAGAAAAATCGCCTAAATAGATTGTAAACTTTTCTGTTTTCAACACGCGAAATCATATTAACACCTACAGTAGTTTTCTTTCTTATACATGTGAAACAAAACTGTTTTTGTGAATAAGTAAGTAAATTTATAACGTTTAAGGCTAACGAGTTAGTTTACAACAAAAAAAAACAACTCCAAAATCATTGCTTGCGCATACGCCATGTAACATGGCATCAGTGCGCGAGCAAGAGACCTCGGTTAAAAAGTAGTTAATATTTTTTATGCAAACACTTCTGGAACTGGACTATGAGCATTGTTTACACTCAAGATGAAAAATGAAAACGCAGCTACCTTGAAAATTTATCTGACTTAAAGGTCAGGTAGAAATGCAATGTTTATACCAAAAAATCCTCCAAAATATGCAAATATATGTTGGATTTACTCTGCGTTATACATTTTCCGAATAAAGAGCGCGGTTGCGTGGCAACATAAAAATTGAAGTGATAAAGCCATATCGTTGATGGCGCATGGCGCGTCAGCATCGTAAGTGCTTTAACTAGCGTTTTCATTTATTGTCTATGATAACACAGGTAAATATTGCAACAGGGCCTTGAATTAGTGGAAAACGAAAACAATGTATGATGTTTCTCATGGACAGCATCCATCGGTATGTAACGTTATCCATTTCTAAAGAATCTTTTTACATAAAAATCTACCAGATTGCAAGTTAGAGTTGTGGTAATTTATTCTGTCTCACCCAAGATCCGCCATTGGGTTTAAATTCTTCCATTAGAACGCAGGAGATGCAGGCAAAGCGAGAATACGTGAAATTAAGCTCAACAATATTTAAAGGTTCACAACAATACTTAGACGTTCTAAATTTATTTAATAATCGAAACACTTCACAATCATTACACTTCGAAAATGTTTATATGCTTAATACTTATGGTGTTTTACACACCTACTCTCAGGTATTCTTCTATAACCCCCGTGTATCAATCTAGGGCTACAATTTTAAACTAGCTACGTCTACGGATAACATAAAAAATTAAGGCTAAATGTTTTCTATCTTAATGGTGTTGTGTTCATAATTATTCTAATTACTATAAAAAATATCAGATGTTTTACGTCAAGGTTTCTTAAGTCATTTTAAGATTGTATAAAAACATAAAAGAACACAAGAAAAGTCAAAAAGCTCGGAATTTTACCAGAAGTTCCAGATGTAGTCTTTGGAACCCAGACTGCGAAAGTTCCTCCGTTCACTCCGCTAATCTTCCCATGAATCTTTCGGGTCTCAGCATTAATAATCACCACCGTCTTGTCTCTGGTTGCCGGGGAAATGATCCATTTATCGTTGATAAACAAGTTTCTTGATGCGCCATGTGCTGTTGTGTCCAGGAAACCGACGTTCTCGATATATTTCACGTCAGAGATATTTAATTTTTCCCCTAAACTCAAGTCAACGACCGCTATTTTATTTGAGTAACCAAGTGTAACGAATACGTAGTAGCTATCCGAGGTGTTACCCTTGGGGTAGAAAACCGCATGGGATACACCACCGGGGATACGAAGTCTCGGGTAACCATTTATGTTAATTCCAGGGAATCCTTCAAAGGCGAGAGTATTCATCATACTCGTGTTGCGATTGAGGAACACAATATACCGACCATTAGGCGAAACAAAGGGGGCGCCGGGAGTCTTCGTCATAAGTGTACCACCGCCGTGGATACCTTGCATTATTAACCACGAACTTCCATCTCTTTTGTGACATTCCACGAACAAGTATTTGTTGTACGCGTTGAAGGCAATGCCCATGGTTCCTGTGCAGCCGAAATTTGAGAGGTTACGAAAACTCGTGTAGGACTTTGTTTCCAAGTTCAGTTCGTGGTATCCGGGATTTTTAAAATGTGTAACGAAGGCCGTCTTTCCTTCGTTCAAATCTTTGTCGGCAACCATATAACCATGCGTCCAACCTAGTATGAAATTTTCAGCTCAATCAAAAAATGCAGTTAAGGTAATGTCATAAGACTTCCCTTCAAGACTTCTTTTGGGAGGGGATAATTTAGGCAGGATAATAAATTCTGTAGGTTTATTATCATAAAGGAGGTTTTTAGCCCCTCCGGACTTTTTTGGAAAGGGATGATTGAGGGAGGGGGGGGGCTTTATTGAGACGAATGCTTTTTGAGAAGAGACAAATTGAGTTTTCCGTAAATATTGAATAAGTTAGGGTGCATAAGTAGTAAACAAAGTCCATGTCTTATATAGCATACTGAATTGCATGTATTGACTGAAATTCTCGCCTCTGATTGGTCGAGAGAAATCTGGATATTCACCTAAGCGGAATTTTTAGTTGTTTTTGTGAGATGAAGTGACAGATGACACAAGAAAAAATAAGTTATTTCAACGAAAACACTGTACCTAAAAGCAAAAAGTGGGAAAGTGGAAAGCCCTAAAATGATTTCAGGGTGCATGGAAAACTGCATATTATAGAAAGCTTTTTAACTTTATTTTTAAAAAGGCTCCGTAAAACTGCCGAGATATTTGTTTTCGCGTTCGCAAAACATGCATTTTCCTTTTTAGAAAAATAACCTTTATAGTTACTTTTGCTCAGTTAAATTACGTTTGCTCAGCGGCTTCTGCGCATTGGTTCTGCACATAATACTGTTGTAATTATGGAGTTAGTGCAGCAATATCCTGAAAAATCATGGCTAAAATAGTGGACAAAGTGTACGAGAAAACGGGATTGCAATATCCATGCTGGACGCTGCACTTATTTGA